AAAAGGCTTTAGGATTAGTCGACACAAACTATTGGAAAATCTAAAGAATTTATTGACCATTCTAACGTCACAAACACAATGAGCAAATAAGAACGTAAACATGAACAGCAGCCGTTGTAGCAACACGAAGSAGAGGCGAGTGGGAAAATAAAAAGGCTTAATTAAGGATTAGTAGAGTGGACGCAGGAAGTCTRTGAAGTTGTATATCAAAATAGTACTTATTTGCAGTATACATGCAAATAATGCGAAGCATTCCTTAATGGTAATACGCTGATTTGAAATCGCTTAAAATATGTTTTCAAGGAAATGTTTTCATTTTATGAATACAATTTCATGGGTTTAGAGTGTTCACTCTTGCTTTTTGTTTCATAACTGTTCAAAGAGTTGAAAGAACACTTTAAGACAAGAAAGTACATGCAAACTCCAATCGAGCACAATTTAAGTGCAAGAACAACAAAATTATCAGTGCCTATGAGTTTAACTATGTAATAACTACAGCCAGAGTAGTCGAGCAGAGAAGTCAAAAACAGTTTTATTAAAATTTTGTTAAACCAATGCATCAGTATGCTGATAGAGTAGATAGACTATGTAATAGTCTCGTCCAATACAAGAGAAATGGCATTCAAAGAGGAATGAACACAATACATTAATGCTGACCTTGCTGAATACAAATTGAAAACAAAGACGTGCAATTYAATAAATACCCTATACACATTAAAACTGTCAAAACAAGCACCAAAGCTATTATATATTACCAAAACCTGCACTTAAAAAATATTGATTGTTTTTATGAAGATTCTGTTGACTGAATCTGATTTTGTAAAGCTTCGTATGCAGCAAGYTCCTTGGCCTCCTTTTTCTTGTTCCTTTCTTCAAACTTCAATCTGAAAATTATAAAATASAAGTTATTTGCATGGTGACAATAAKCATCAGAATGGACAATAACCACAYGTTCCTWGTGGCTACGTSTGATATTGCRAAAATGAAGTGAAAATTATTTGAATCATATCAACAAACTCAACATGATATTTTCTTAAATTGCCATATTTATAATCTTTGTCTTTGAGAAAAGACGTTCCAGTTCTGGACTGCACAGGAAAAGATATATATGTTATTTACCGGATGGGAGGTCCGTATAGGAAAACACTGCCCGAGGTCTTGACAGTACAAAACAAGCACAGTGAGATCCGTACATAAAAGACAGAGACCAGTGTTTTCCTATATGGACCAACCTATAGACTGTAAATAACATTTTTATTTTTTTACTTGTATTTTATGCAACTTTGCTCGCAGCCTAGCTGCAGGATACCATTGGACCGGGCAGATCGCAAAAACCGGACTGTACGCTAGCCATAATCATAATCATAATGTAGACAATATAATTTAAAAAAATGGAAATAGATAAATGACAACATACTTATTGCGAATGATTCTTGCCACAATATCAGCAGTAGTGATTGATGTTGCGCTATTGAGCATCTTGAATGCATTGCGTTTTCTTGGAATTTCATAGGGATCATTGCCTTTGCTGTCATTCATTATTGGAGTTGAMCCATGAACCACCAGATCAACCTTTAAAAAATCAAAATGCAGGTTTATTGTGAAATCATTAATAAAGACAATCCGTGTAAATTTATAAATGAAATTCACTGATACCGATTTGACAAGATTAAAAAGAAAATCAGTTATTACTATTTACAAAGGCCCTCCTCATTTGTGAGTATGTTCCATAATATTTWACCCCCAAGTTGGAGATTAACATGGTAGACTTTCACAGCAGTGACCCAAATCATTTCTCAAAGTTATTATATTGATGAATATGCATATACATGATATTGTCTTCTGTACTAAACAATTATTAGGGTTGGAACAGCACAGGGATTCCAACCCTAACAAGGTCTGAAACAGAAATGTGCATGGTGCTATTTTGTTAAAGTTAATAGCTTGCTATTTTGTTATTACAATGAACAAAGATTGGAGGAGCTTTGCATGAGTCAACTGTAATTTTCTGTTGCTCTGGAAATAAATAATCTTTCTGAAAAATCTCATTTCTTGCTGTACAAAAGGCTCTCATTAAAAGATGAATAAAGGATCATGGCATCCATAGATACCACTTGTCTTATAAAAATGCCTTATACAAGAAGCAGTTGTACAAATATTGAATAAAAAAATACCAAGTATTAAAAGCACTGTTCACATAAGACCACATAAGCCTGAAATTTCAAAGTAGGWCCTAAACTTCTAAATATTTAGATAAAAAATCCATTCAAGAACCTGGAGAGCCTGAATTCAAATTTAAGCACCATGCATATAATCTGAACTCTTTCAGCCTGACTTGGAATAATCTAAAATCTTGGACATAAATACTTGACGACAATTTTTCTCTTGGGCATCATAAATACTGTATTGAATGCATCTACTGAAAATATTACCCCTCCCTCCCACATCAATGTTGCCAGCAGGGATGGGACAACAAATGAAAAGAAAGCTATGCAAGTTTATTGGAGGTAAGGGTGCAGCACAAGGATGTTTTTATTGATGAATGGTGTCGGAAATGTTGTGCAAGCGTAAAAAATGTCAACATTTATGTCCAAGATTAGTCATAYTAAATTTTGTACCTTGAATTGCTCCATCAGTTCCTCTGACACAACATAYGGAGCACCAATAATAACTTGATCTACATATCGGCAAGCCAATACACTAAGAACTCTCTCATGTAGATTCATGATAGGATAATTGCTGCCTTTATAATGATTGACAACCTGATCTGTGTGAAGACCAACAATTAGGTAGTCTCCCTGTTCCTTGGCCTTCTCCAAGAAATCCAAAAACCCAACGTGGAAGAGGTCAAAAGCTCCCGCAGTGTACACTATCCTGTCATTAGGACCYGGTTCTTTCCCATCAGAAAACTGCACAATCCTTTGGGAGGTGGGCAAAAAGTGAGAAACACAGGTGTAAGGGCTTTTGGCTGCAGCATCTGAGCTAGCACTACTGATTTGCTCTGGATCCAAAGAGCTTATAGGKACACCTTTATCAAAATGTTCCTTTGTTAAAAGTAACATACGTCCTACCAAGTTAGTAGTGGAAACTCCTGGGGTTCGTTTGCACTCCTTGTATCTGCCATTGCTTTTGACGATGTGGTAGGTGTCAACACCATCAGCTGATAGCGTGATGTCATCACCATGAACACAGAASTCGCAGCCATGTTCGTCCATCGTCTCCAAAGTCGTCACGTACGGTGCTCCTTCGACGACTTCATCGACCCATTTGATAGCACGTACCATTTTATACCTTTCYTCTTGGTTAAAGACAGGAGGGCCCTTGTTTGCAGCTATTTCTTCATCACTGTGAACACCCACTATTAGTACGTCACCCATTGCTTTGGCCTGTCGGAGTGCATTCGCGTGTCCGAAATGAACCATATCAAAACAGCCATCAGTCCACACTCGCACCTGCTTCAATCGCTTGGTATCTTTTTCTTTAGACATCTTGATGCAGAGATCAAGCCTTATATTTTCGAAGGAARCGTTGAACACCACAACACAACGATGCACAATGGAAAGAGAACGTCCACGAGTCACTCCTCTCTATTTAGCGCTCTGATTGGTCGAATTTGGCAAAGTCCATAAAGTAACGATTTTGATTGGTTAAAGCTTTAGATATGTATTCATGGCCTGCGGTTTCCTGCAATAACTAAATTATAAACACACACGACTGTGAAATTTATGCTCAATATCCTTGTGTTTTGGTCGTTTTTGCATTTCGTAAACTGATGTCCTACGTTTTTAMAACAATGGGAACTTAATGCACTTGGAACAAGATTCTTTTTAGCTGATATTTCGCTTAGGGAGTGTTATTTGATCGAGAATCACTCAATCGATCAACCAACCACTTATTGGTTTCGCACAACTGACGCGTTCTAGTTCCCTTTGGCCTTGTTGTATTTTAGAAATGGGAGTATTTCTCTTTATTCCGAATCTGATAGGTAAGCTTGTAAAGTCAGCKTTTTATCGAGATATTAGAAAGAAAATACGGCCTTCTAACTGCAAATTGAACATTGACAGCTGTCCTGTGCGTGCAACAAAAAATGGCGGCAAGACAATTTATATAAACAGCATTGGACATTTGGCTTGACTTCCTTTCCGCATAAATTAGTTAATCGTTTGTTAGATRACTTAGTATTAACTCTAAACCAACCAATCTTGTGTTTTGAGTCGATATTATATAGCTTTTTCATGTATCCGTCCCTATGCATGACTTAACAAATAAATAAGTCTCAGCCGTGGTTTATACTCTCATAAACCACACTTTTTTGGCCAATCAGAGTGCGCGTTAGAAATCATCTAATATATAACAAATCACTGTATTTACTTCATGGGTACATGCTGGGTAATACGGTATGGATTTTAGTCCCCCTCCCTTCCCTGTATAATGTAGACAGGTGACTGAGAACACATTATATGATCCCTGTTGGATCCTGGATCTACTCAAGACATGTGGGTTCTTCTTCAGGTTATGGCAGGATAATATTGGCCTTTATGTCATTCTATTATATGCCATTTGATCCTACTAAAGCAGTTGTGACTTACCTGGTCAGTGGGTTACTTGATGCRTTTGATGGACATGCAGCAAGATACTTTAATCAAAGTAAGGTCTACTCATAACTAATCATTAGCATCTAATAGAGAAAAAAATTCACTCACCTTTAAGTCCCCTTCACAGGTTCTGATTGTCCATCTTGAAACCTAACCACGGCTTTGTATTGAATGAAGTGAGACAACTGCTGAGTGTGCAATGATTGACACCTGTAAATCATTGCCGATAGATGATGGAGAAGCTTTCTGTTGCACACTCACCCGTCATCTTACATTGATGCGAAGGCATGGATACCTTTCAAGATGGGGCAGGGAATGTAAAGTCTGTTGCTATCTTGAATAAGTGTTGTTTATTGATCATAAACTAATCATTGAAAGCACTTCACATTATTTAAATCATAATTCTTAATCAAAATTGTTTWTTCTTTGTTACTTTCTTCACAGGCACAAAATTTGGTGCACTGCTTGACATGTTAACAGACAGGTAAAACTGCAATTATTATGCCATCAGTTAATGTGAAGTTCCAGAAGAAGGGGGACGTACAGCAAATTAAGGGGGAGGAGGTAGCCTCAGATACATTCCTAGATACAAGGAATGGTTTCTGCATACATGACCATATCATGATACAGGAAACAAAAAATAGGCTGCCACACATACAATGCTCGGATGTAACTATGGAAAAATGTCTGATCCTTGCAATAACACGTTCCAATAAGCTCCAAAATGAGAAATAACTAGAAGTTTACTATCTTTTTCTCCTTGTTTAGATGTGTTACCACAGCTTTGCTGATGATGCTGTCGGTGTTCTATCCTTCCTATCTCTTTCTCTTTCAATTCCTGGTCTGTTTGGATATTAGCAGCCATTGGATACATGTCCAATCGTAAGTAAAACTTATTCTGTGTATTGAGATGTATATGCCATTACAATTGAATAAAATACTACATAAATCGTTACATGTATTATAATAATTAAGGAAGGAAGATGAAGACTAGTAACATATAATGACTCGATYAA